AACTATAACTAATAAACTTTATTTTAATATAAAAATAAAAATTATTTCTTAATAAAATTATAAATTTTAATATAGAGTAAAAATTTTAATTTTCACTATATTTTATTAATAAATTTAGTCTCTGAATAATACTTTTGATTATTACTATATTATTATATAAAATAATTTATATTAATAATTTAATTATTTATTTATTTTATAATAATAACTATTAATTAATATTTATAAACTAATATAAATTTATAAAATTAAATTAATTTATTTATTTTCAACTTAATCTTTTATATAAATCTTTTATTAAATATATAAAAAATTATAATTTAATAAAAAAATATTAGTATTTTTTTAGTTAATTTATATAAGAATTTTATAAAAATATTATATAAAAAATAATTTTTATTAAAATTTTATTAAAAATTTTTTATAGTTTAATAAATAAACTTATTTAAGAATAATATAAAATAACTTATTAAATTATTTTTTAAAAAATTTTTATAATAATTTAAAAAATAAAAATTTTTGAATTTAAATTCAAGTTTATAAAATATACTATTAAGATATTTATTAAATTATATTATTTTTTTATTCTTAAAATATTAATTTATATATATAATAATAATTATAATTAATAAAAATTTAAATATTAAATTAATTATAATTATTATTATATAGTAACTTTCATAATTATAAAATTAGAAGATTAATTTTATCAATAAAATATAATAAAAATTAAAATTTTCTTTCTATATTAAACTTTATTATTTTTATATTAAAATAAAGTTTATAGACTATAATTTAATTTATTTTTTTCTGAAAGAGTTATTCTTTTTTTCAGAATAATTCTGAAAAAAATATATATTAAATTATAACTTATAAACTTTATTTTGATATAAAATTAAAAATTATTTCTTAATAAAATTAAAAAGTTTAATATAGAGAAAAAATTTTTAATTTTATAATATTTTATTAATAAATTAATCTCTTGATTTCATAATTATGAGAGTCATTATATATATAAAATATTTTTTATTATTTAGATAATAATTATTTTTTTTATAAATTTTTATTTATACTATATATATTTACTTAAGTTATAAATTATTTATTATTTTTGTATTATTTTAACTATTTTTTTTTAATATTAGTACCATTAAAAAAATAAAAAATTATTATATAATATAATAAAATTCTGAAAATAAATAATTTTTTACATTATTAATTTGAATTAAATTTTAAGCTTACTTATTTTCTATTCAACCAGATATTTATTACAAACATGATGAGAAAGTTAAAAAGATCTTTCAAAATTTATTTTACCATTATTTTTATTCATAATTATAAATTCAATTATCTTGAAAAGTTTTTCAGCAATATTCTCACTATCTTTTTAATATACTTATAAGTAATTATTTCCAATATAGCAGCCAGATATCTCTTACTTTCAGAATTTGATGTTAATGGCGTAAAAAGTAAATTTATAGTTAAATTTATCTCTTCAATATCATCTAGCTTTAATCAGTTAGATTATCAAAATAACATAGATTTCTTTAATTTCATAATTTATGAATTTTTTTGATTTTAATAAATCAAGTTCAGATCTGATTATTAAAATGATTATAACAACGATTAATTTTGTATCTTCTATATTTAGCATCATATTTTATTTAACATTAATTTTCAAACATTTTATTTAGCGTTATCTTTGAATACAAAGACTAATTATGTACTTTTACATCCCGTACTTCATGCTCTGTGTATATTCTTTAGGAAGAAATGGCGAAACATCTAAACACAGCTCAAATAACATAATGTCGCAGAAACTTATATAAAAATCATTGGCCATTGTTAGTTGGATTTGAGCAAGAGAAATACAAAGAACAGGTCGGAACAGAAAAGCCGATCATACAATAGAAAATTCAAATCCAATGTATCTATTTCGCTAGAACATTCACTATGACAAAACCCATAAAAGAAATGTTTAACGATAATGTTCGATTTAAAAAAATACGCAACCGCAGTTCCCCAAAAGAATTAAGTCGTATATGTTTTCCGTTCATCACATAATAACGAACCGTCGAAATTATCGCTAATTAAACTGCGTGTCACCCGCAGTGTTGAAATAATATATGAATAGACAAAAACAGAAAGATGTGCATAAAATCTTTAATTTGGTTTGACGTTTGAAATACAAGAAATTTATCTTACTTTTTGTAACTCCGCCGCAGTAGCATATACAATAATTCTGCGGGAAAATTTTGTTAAGTATAAATACAAGGGTTGATTGTTTTATTTTCTACAAACTAAAACATTCTTCGATCTCAGAAATAACAAACTAAAGTTTTATTTGAAATAAACGAATTTAATCTTTTTAACACAAAAACAAGCATTATTTAAAGTTAAAAAACAAGATGCCAAGTATCAACAAAGCAAAATCAAACGAAAAAAATAACGAGACCGAACCTTCGTTAATCAATCAAGAAGAAACATCTTCGAACACCTTCATTCAAAAAGAGGTGATAACGATGGAAAATATACTCGCACAATACGAATTAAATAATTTACGCGCACAAGAACAAAGCCAAACACAGCCAATACCAATACAAGTGCCAATAATAGGTGGACACATGGAAACAGAAACTCGATTCTGGGAATTCATAATAGAGGACGAAACCACGACCTATATACGATACGGAAACATTCTGTCGGACGGGACGCTTAAAGAGCGGGCGACGCAAATACAGCGACATCCCTCATCAAAACAGGCGAAGGCGTTTGTAAAGATGTTGATTGATGAGAAAGTTAAAGTTGGATATGTTGGATGGGCAAATTTCGAAAATTAATTTGCAAGTTATATGAACAATTTAACAAAGAAAGTTAGACTATATCAAAAAAATTCATATATACAAAAAAATATTTCAAGTTATATGAACAATCAAAGAAACAATTATTATATTTTTATGTTTATGAAACAATTATTTATCAAAAAAATCATATACACAAAATGCATTTATAGTTTACTTATTCAACTCCGAAATCCTAGAACATTGTAGATAGATAGATAAATATATATATATATAAAAACACTTATAGCGACTACAAACATTGTACATATAACAAACATTATTTTATCAATATAATTTATCATCTTAAATATCATGAATCTCTCCTTTACAAAATTTTAAATATCTATATATATAAGAAGATATAAAAAAATATATTAAAATAAATGGCTATTGAATATTACCCAAGCGATTACGTGTGCATGGAATGTGAATTTCGGATGCAGCAAACACTGCTACAAGAACCCTATTTTTACATTATGCTATTGCGAAACCAATGACAATTAAAATTCATGTTGGGTTGCAACATGATAGAATAAACATGATATAAACAAAATAATTTAAAAAGTCAAACACAGCTTTATAAATGGAAATAGCAATGCTGATTGACTGACGTGCTCACGACCGTATGGTCTATGCTTTTATTATGGAACTAGAAAAGTTATAATTTAGAGAGAGGTTGTGACTAAAAAAAAAAAAAAAACGAACAAACGATATTCTCGCGTATATTGAGAAAAATAGTAACGTCAGGTGATATTCAAAAATAGTGAACACAGAGCTAAGAAGAATAGCTGTTTTAAATTGATATGCACGCACGACATAAACACTCGCATATAACGCAAACAAACAATCCAAACTTCTTTCACGTACATGTACTTTTACTCTAATCAACAAGAGTATAGCGACAGCTAACATAATAAATACAATAACGGATAAAATGAATTGATGAACTGCTCATTCTCCTCATTTCTTTTTGCATGATGCACATTAATGCTACATCGCAGACTGTATTTTATTTTATTACCTATCTATTTATTGCTGAAACAGTTTCACACATAAGAGAAGAAGGTTTGTGCAGTACTGGTTAGAAATCTTCTTGAAGTTTGTTAAATTCATCACAAAAAACTTTAATAACGCATAAATATCAAAGATTTCTCTCAAATTCAAAAAATTTTGCAATTTCTTGAAAAATTTTTGTAAATAATCCTGAACATATATATATATATATATACATGTATATATTAAAAACATGTCAAATTCGAAATCAAATATAAAGCAAATATTCGATACAAAGTTACCACCGGAATGTATACTACAGATACTGGACTACATCTCTTTAATAGATTTATCTACAATCTTCTCCTGTCTTCTAATAAACAAACACTGGTGCGCAACAACAATTGCAGTCCTCTGGAGAAATCCTTTTCGTCTATTAAAGGCACGAAGATCGCGGTCCGCGACATCAGTACAAGATTGGCGTATACGAGCAGCACATCTTTTTGAATCCTATATGTCATTTTTGGATAGCGAAGCGCGAGCTCAATTAAGACGAGCACCAATAAAACTACTCGCAAATCGAACAAAAATATTAATGATTCAGCCGCCTAAAAGTCCCCAAAATATTATTATCGACTATGTCTCTTTCATGGATGACTCAATTAATTGTAATGAGATTTTGGATGCGGCTCATTGTTGGGTGCTGTTATTGAGAACTAAGATGGCGGCAATTGAAACGAATTTCGAAAAAGTTATTTATACTGGAAAATTAATGCCAAAATTAAAATCAGAAATTGTAATGTACCCGGAAGGAGAACTAGTTGAGAGTAATGATAATTCAGATAATAGCAGCAAAAGCCACGTTTTCAATTATAATATTAATCGCGAACAATCGCAACAACGGCAGAAACAAGAAATAGAGAAATTTCATCCTGAACCAATCATTTCTCGAGTTCTTTGTGATTTCCTAGCAAGACGTAGTCCTTTGCTTTCAAGACTTCGATGTGATCTTGAAGATTGGCAAACTCGGGAATTAAATCGAAAATTTGAAATTTAACTCTTTTAGAGTTTCAGTTGAAATTCTTTTTAAATAAAATATTAATAATAGAATGCTAGTTGCTTAACGAGTACAAATCGCAGCTCGTGGAAATTTAGAGGTAGTGTAATATCGATGACGGGCTCACTTTAGCATTGTAAAAAATATCTATGTTCATTTCCAAATAACAGCTGCGAAAAAAAAGTATAAGGTATTTTCAGTCGTAAATTATATTTTCTGATTTATTGTTTTATTACAAAATAGAATGTAGTATATCGATTTGACATATTAAAATTACTGTATATGGTGAACCAAATTCAAGTTAATTTCATTTTCGCAATTACGTGATTTTTAAGAGTAAACCAATCAAATCGCAAGAAATGGTTCTTACGAAAAATTCTAACCTGCGATTTGATTGGCTATCCTTTAAAAATCACGTGGCCGCTAAATTTTTCTATCTCTTGTCATAGCGAACTCTAATTAATTCTTATCATAATGAATTTTTTTCTTCACAATATAAAAACATTCAAGATTGGCCCCTGAACCAGTCCAAAAATGTTATCCAAATATCTACATAATTAAATTACTAATAAATTTTTGTTCAGACTGTCCAAAATTGTCCAAGGGCCAACCCTGAAAAACATATAAAATCTGTTGTGATTAATTTGCCATAATGGATTTTTATTATATATCCCGTTCATCCAGTTTGACTGTAGCTTTATCTCGATAGTTTCAAAATCATGTGATATATAACAAAAGATTTACTTCACAACATGGGTGTCGATATAAATTCTCAACAATGTACATTGCATATTGTATGCTTACGTAACCAAAAAGATTGCAAACTTCTTGGACGCCAGTAATGTGAGCTTATTATATTCCTCGCTACATCAGAATGTGATGTTCGTTTTAAGTTCACTTCATGAACAATTATTCGAAATACGCATAGTATCTTGCGCCGAGAGAAACTCCGTGTTCTCCAACTTGATGAAGATTAAAAGAAAAGCTAGATTTAAACCTAAAAATAAGCGTTATTCAAAAATCTGCTGAGTATAAAGCAGCCACATTAATCAGTGCCTCTTATTTTTTTTTGTTCCAGGTACAAGCAATATATACTTGAGATAATTCCCGCATCTAATTAGCATTTATTAAAAGAACTTTTAGGTAATAATACAGTTAGATCTCCCTAAATGCAAGCTCAAACTCTGGCCCAAATACTTCATAAATGCAATTTTTCTTATTGTTCTCTAAATGCATGGTGTCAAAAAAGTTGGTCCGAGCAAGTTGCATTTTAGAGAGGTCTAAATGTACAACTTTGCACAGACATCTTGCACATCACATGTCATAAAAATCAATTTATTAATGACCAGTCTCTATTTTAATGCTATACACAAGGATTTATATTTTTAAACTTGACTTCTTCGATCTTATTTATATGCAGAAATTCCTTTATGTCCACCTTTCTTGGAAACGAATACAAGTATCTCTCGATATAAGAAATATTTATTAAAATTTGATGTAAGGAATTAAGCTCAAAAAAGTCCGGTATATGAAGGTTTGTAAATTTGATCCAAACACATTTCTTATATCAGGAGCCAGTTAATTAATAGCTTAAATGAGCTGTGCCAGGTTTTGTCGATTCCGGAAAGCTCTACCGTAATTGTTGAAGGTCGATTTTAAGAAAGGTTAGGTTAAGCGCAAGGGTTAGAGTTGAATCAGAGGTAGAGATATATAAAATTGCCCTCACCGACATTTTTGATTAGTATACCAAGCTAGGTTTAAGCATCCGTTTTCAGCATTTTTCACTTGTGTCGAATTTGTTGGCTGCTGGGAAATTCACGTATTCTCATTGGCCGCTCGGCCTGGCACAGATTGAGAATGTGCGATTATAACTCGGTGCGAGTATAATCATATATTGACCATTTCAAGTTATGAGAAGCATACGATAAATGAATCGGAAAATCATTATTTGGTATGCAGTGATGCGAAAGGGAACACAAAAGAAGTAAAAGATTAGGGCTCAGAGCATACATCTGAACAATCTTTTGCTCAATCGTTGATGGATTTGCGATTTGTTGCGATCATATGATAGATAAAACCTATGCTCTTGATATTATATTTGGGCTAACTTTTTTCGATTACTACTTCCCCAAATATTTCTGAGCCAATGAAAGGAATTGCAATTCGACGATGATTATGTCTTCTAGCTAAAAAAACTGAATTCTTGACTGCCAAGGAAACCTTTCTTAAAAAATCAGTTTCATCTCCGACAAAAGTCGTCAGAGCCGCATGAATAATAGACTGAATGCCACCTGAATATCCGAGATTTCAACATTCCCAGAATATCTGTCACTCCTTTTATAAATAAATGCTTTTTACTATAATTGAAAATTCAGCAAAAGTAAAATCTTACTATATAAGGGGATTATTATATCCAGCTTCGATTGCATGCATGTATCCTTATTGCATCACAACTTTTTCAACATTGCATTATTTTATTGCGAAAGTACTTGATCAATAAAGAAATTGATACCGTTAATTAATAGAAATTATGACTTTTCATATATAGAAAACAGCACTAGTATAGTAAACTCGCAATCTTTTCAATCATTGCTAAAATCTCTTCCAGAAATCTCACTTACATTTACAGTCAACATTGACATTTGGAATCTTTTTTTATGTAATCTGCATAAGATAGTAATATTATATTTGATGAAAAATGTGTTATTTTATACCAGGTTTTTATATGGCCTTTTTAGGTGCTTTTTCCAAAACATATTCCCAAGCAGCGACTATATAGTTACTATTTTAATCGACGGTTACGTTACATATTTTCTTTTATCTTTAAAGATAATGACAAATCCTTTTGGATCTATATTTTCCGACACTGGTCCGAATTATCTAGTTTAACTTAATTGATAACCGTTAGGGCTGCGACAGATATTACGTAGTATCCATTTACTAATGAGTGTTCTCCTACTCTCAGGTAAGATATTCAAAAATGTATAGCATAAGATTTATCAACCCAAGTATATTATGTAATATCTGTCACATCCCCTTACGCTTCGATTGAATTATATATTTCATCTCCGCACCTGCCATGATACTGGCTATAACTGTTGAAACTCCAAATCACTTTTGTCTCTCTGTTTCAAGCTTTACCTCCTCTAAATGATATTTATTAATATAAAAATTTTTAACAAACTATTCCTTTATAGATATTATGTATGAGGATAATGATAGAGGGGAAATTTTATTACGCCCTTCTATTTAGACGTTCAATAATGTAAGAGGATCTTTGAATAAGTGCTCGCTTACATTAGTCTCTAACAACTATATGAAAATGTTTGTTGGGAATTTCGTTGGAAAACGCAATTGTTATCACATCAAGACTCTTGATTTTATAGGGTGTAGATGCTCAATCTACTGTTGACTTCCAGAGCAGGAGCTTGCTGGCATTAAGATTCCTCTTTCTCTTTAATTTCTCCTTGAACTTAACAAGAAGCTTTGTCACTTTCAATTGAACGGGGAAATGTTCTTGCCAAGGTCTTTGCCTCAACTATTCAACAAGAATAACGACAGTTGGCTTGGGAGTTTACATCTTTTTTTTGATGCGTCGAAAATGATGAGTCTTTTAGTTTCATGAGACATAATCTTTCTTTTGCATAAATTGAACCCACCAATTTTCGTGTATTCCTCCCATTTTCGTGCATTTATTTTGGACACGCTAACTATTAGAGCCAAAAATGCCGACATTAGATTCGTCTCGATAAGACGAATTTGAATGGTGATATTTTTAGCTCAAATCCAACAATCGGTCGTTGAATTATCGTATCCCGCATAAAATGTACGAAAATGGGAGGGTACACGAAAATGGTAGGTTCACCTTATCATAAGTGAATTTTTATTCTTGACATATTTTCTTTTTAAGTCTCTTAGTAAATGAATTTACTTTATATAAAGATTAAACTAACTTTTTTATTTTGCAGTATTTTTGTTTCATCAAAACTTTAAGGGAATGGACCTTATTACTTATTGTTCACCTTTACTGCACATTATTTTATATTTGACAATTACATTATTTCTTAGCTAAACCCATAAGTGAATGTACCTATCCAGAATAAAGTAGTTTATTGAGGAGATAAGTAATCTAATTTGTTTTCGAGAAAGGATATTTATGCATATAGAACGAAAGTTTTCTTTTTGACCAAAACTCCAAAAAGCAATTTTAATTTTCTTAATATAGGCTATTGAATTTACAAAATTTAAAGTTTTTCCGCATTTCAAAAAGTTTCTTATTGCATAATTACAACTACAATATCGATTTTGAAAATTAATCCTTCTAATTGAGTCTAGTCCAATTCGTTTCGTAAAATGAAATCTTACAGTGACTCACTAAAGAAACGGAACGCGGAAAAAAAATGGCGAGATTCGAATATCTCGCCATTGAAGAATTATCGGAGACCAAAAGAAAGTGGATTTTATTCATTA